TAGATGAAGAATGCAAACACAAGAAATCTGCTTTTGTCACAGTTGCTGTGCTCCTCTGAATTCCTTTGTTTAACGGTGAGAGCTGATCGAGCAGAGAGCAGCTGTGGTTGTTCTGGAGTCAGAGATGAAGCTGATGCAGGACACAGCAGCATCTTGAGCTGCTTTCGGTTCATAATACACAAACCAGTTTAAAACAGCAAATCCTGATCGGTCCAGAATTTACCCTGACTTAACTGTTTGGGGCTCTGTCCTCTGGTGTTTTTCCTAAAATAGGCAGAAGTGCTCACGGGATGTTTGTGCCGCAGCCAAATCGTAACTTGGGGACTTGTTTGCTTCGTTCTTGAGCCTGCTCTGCCCCTCGCCTGCACTCCTCGCCCCCTGTTTATGTGCTGCGAGGTTTCGTAACCCTCCCTCCCTGCTGCTCGTCTTGGCATTGACCTTGAAACACCACTGGCTAATGTGTCATTGCTCGTGCTCTCACCTTCTCTTAATTTTTCTAAACTTTCAGTGTTTCACTTACTGCAGGAGTATTTTTCATACTCTGTCCTACAGCCACATAGCTGTGAGATCTCACTGCCCAGCTGTCAGTACCTCCACAGTCTGGGATCTGCAGCCGCCTGCCAGATCTGCTGTGAGGCTGGAGGAACAGGGACGGCAACCCAGAGCGTTGCAAGACCCGTCTGATGACTTCAGCCCTCCTGGAATTGCTTAGACAACAGGGTGAAAAACACACGCCGAGTTCTCGTCGCCTTAACGCAATAAGAGTCGTTTCCGAAAATGGGGTTGTGCTCTTGGGGCAGCGCTGCCCTTCCCGGGAACGCTGCCGGGGAGAAGCGGCAGATGGATGAGCTGGGAGGGTAGAAGATGCTCTGGCAGAGATGCGGGAAGATTGATTTCCCTGCTGAATGTTGGCTGTTCGTGACTCAGCAAAACACAAGTGGTGGTTTCATTCTGCAGAGTCATGAGAAGATACCGGGAAAGCAAAAGTCTGCCCTGGCCAAGCGCCGGCCGCTCTCTGCGGGTCGGGGTGGGAGGAAGTTGGTTGTGACCAAACACCGAAGGCTTCACCCACTTTGTGGGAAGGAAACTGGGCTGTGGGGTTATTTCTCCGCAGTCAGATGATAGAGCGGAGGCAGGAGGATGTGCACGAGACTTGGGTGTCCTGACTGTCCTGTGCTTCCTCCCCAGGCCCAGCTGCAGATGTTGCCTCCCCATCTTTTTCCAAATACTGATTTCTTTAAAACATAAAGATTGGAAGAGGGATGACATAGCTGTGTCCGGCAGGTCATCCCAATTTCCATCACACACACTGCACTCCCCGTGCTTCTGCACGGCTTTTTTCCAAATACCTTTACCTCACCAGTTATTTACACACCCCTACAACTCTGCTGCATGACATATTTTTTTAAAGTTTGTTTTAGCTTTTAAAAAATCCCAAGGACGCCCTTCATGTGCCACGCAGCCACTCTCTGGATCTTCAGCATTGATGGTCTCCAGTTGCTAATGACGCGCTTGGTTAATTATTCACCAAGGTAACAGGAGCTGGTTTGAAACTCCCGCCGGGCAGAGCGTGGCCGGGTGACCTGACCCACACCTCGAAAGCCACACAGGTCCCACTGCAGCTCTGCAGAGCCTGGGATCACGCGGCTGCGGTGCCGCTGCTGACCCAACCTGTGCCAACAGCCACCCCAGCACGGCAGGTCTGGACCAGGAGCTGCCCAGGGGGCTTGGGGATGAACGGAGGAGGTTTAAGCTGCAGCTGGAGGAGGATTTTGCATCCAGCAAAACTTCCCTTCGTTTTTCTGAGAGCTGTGCTGCTGAAATTTGTACTTGGAAATTGAAAAGGCTGTGAGAGGAACTGCGCCGTCAGCGCGGCGTGCGGGGAGCCGTGTGCCGTCACCGCTGGGTGACAGGGGCTGAGGAGGAAGCAGAAGCTGCTGCTGCAGATTTTGTTGCTTTAAAACCACTAAACCTGTGCTCAGAGCAATTGCTGCTGCTCTTTACTCTCAGGAGAGGCTGTCCTGGTTCTTAGCTGACACGGAGCTGGGTTTCTTTTTCAGCAGTTAGAACAGTGCTGCGTTTTGTGCATCGCTGCTGTGGGCAAAGCGGGGTCTGACTGGACGGCAGGTGATGGAAGTGTTCCAGGCCAGGTTGGATGAGGCTTTGAGCAACCTGGTCTAGTGGAAGGTGTCCCTGCTGCTGGCAGGGGCGTTGGAACTGGATGAGCTTTAAGGTCCCTTCCAACCCAAACCAGTCTGGGATTCTATGTTGGTGCTGGGGAGTGGTTGGCAGCACCGGGCAGGGGAAGGCAGGTACCTGCCTGCTTTGATGCTGTGATGACCCAAATAAAGCATCATTTATTTCTGATTTACAAGTGTTGCTTTCTCTTTGCAAAGAATCCACAAAACCAGGCTGCAGGGAGAGTCGGGAGTCAAACTTCCCCCCCTTGCCAAGGACTTTTAAGACCTTGGTTTGGTCATTCCTGCCACGCAGCAGGACTTTCTCCACACTACACTTGGTAAAACGCATCCTTCCTTCAGCCAGGCTGGTGTCCCCCGTGCAGCACGAGCCCCAGGATGCTGCTGGGACAGGGACAGGGACAGGGACATGGGCTGTGTGTCTCCCAGCGCTGCAACAGAAGCAGAAGTTCCCTTAAGTAACTCGCCCTCAACTGATTCATCAGCCTTGTTCCATAAACAGGAAGCTGGGAAAGTACAAGCAGGTGATCTCGTGCTGCTGCAAACATAAATTATATCTGATTGCTTGTATTTTTTTTCCCCTCCAGCTGCCTGCTCACTCTTAATCCAGGTGAAGAATTGTTTTGTCAATGAGGGGTGAACTGTTTGCAGTAGGGAGGTCTTTCAAGTTCACGGTGCAGCTTTAGAAGAGCTTGACTTTGAGACAGAGCTTTCCCCGCCCCTGCTCCGAATGCTGCCTGCACTATGTTGAAGTGCTTCAAATCAGAGCAGGAGACGAGGATCCTTCCCCCAGGGACCAGCCTGTTTCCTTCTCCCAATTTCCAAGTACCAGACTTTATTTCAACAGCCTGGCTTCCCGTGTCACCCTGACTAACGTCTTCCAGCACTGGAGAGGCGGAGATTTCCCAATAACTCTGCTAATTCAGGGAATTGTCCTGTGGTGGAGTTGGGAACTCTGGCTGAAGCACCGTTTGTTTTCTCCCACTCCACACTCACTGTTGCAAACGAAGCCCAGCACCGTTCAGGGATTGAAAAGTGCAGCTCACGTTGCCTGCTGCTGCCAAGCAAAATAATCCCCGAGAGTGCCGTTGTGGTCTGGAATAAACTCCCTTAATGTCTAAACATAGGCGAGACAGCTCCAGTCTGCTAGGATTTCAGCTGGGGCAGACACTCCTCCCTCTCTTCCCCCCAGTAAAGGCAGCAGTTCAGCATCTGCTTTGAAGCTGCTGGTCCTGGGGAGCAGACTGGAGGAGTCTCTAATTAAAACTCGCACGGGAGGGCTGCAGTGGGCGGCTGGGAGCGCCGCTGGTATCTGACCCTGTGTTTGCTTTGGCTCTTTCCTCCTCCCAGCATCACCCAATGGTTTGTCAGACGGCGGGAGGTGGGAGGTGAGACTCTCTGCAGCCCTCTCCCCTTATTCCCCACCGTTATGGAATGGTCAGGGGCTGAGTCACTGCCGGGCAGGGCAAAGAAGTGACTTTTCCTGACACCTCTGCAGCAGCCGCACGGAGATGATCATTAAGAAATGACCTGAGAACAGTGTCTGGCCAAGGGATCCGGCGTGGCCGGAGCTGCCCTCCCGCTGACACTGATGGATCGTGTCAAACTTCTTCAGTTGCTGCTTTTCCATTTCGAGGGAGGTTGTTTAACCGCCTGTGTCCTCCCCGCCGCGGCGCCCGGCTGCAGCGTGGCAGTCGCAGGGACACGGCCTCACCTGCAGGTTGTACCCAGCCAGGTGACAGGTCTGTTAAAGCCCCACCATCAGCACAGCCGGGGGTGGGTGCAGAGTTTGGCAGCGGGATGGGGTCCCTGAGACCCTCAGACACCAGCCACTTGGTGCACAGAAAGGAGTTGTGCTCCGGCAAAGCTCCAGTCCTGCTCCACCCTGGCTCCGGCTCCCCCTGCGCTTCTCTCCTCATTTCCATGGTCACCTGGGCATTAATTTTGCACCATTTTTGTGGAAGGTTCATTTGAGACACGAGCTGTTGGTGCCTCTCGTGCTTTTTTATCCCTCCAGCTCTGTCCCCATGTCTCTCTGCCTGTCCCCTGCTTCCATCCACTGCTTTGCCCTTGGAGAAACCTCAGCCCCTTTGCCTGAGCCCTGACGTGCCACCTACCCCCAGCCTGGGGCCATCTGCCACTCTTACTTTCTTACTCTACTTTTTTCAGGGACATTGATTTGCAAATTGATGGATAAATAGAACAGGGCTGAGTTTGTGCATTATCAAGCATTTCTAGTTGCTGCTCAGAGCCTGGTAGTGCAGAGGAAATCCTGACACAAGAGTCAGGGCAGGACAAAGGCAACGGTGCAAGGAGCAAATAAAAAGTGAGAGTGAACATCCAGAGTTGTGTGTGGTCACCATGGAGCAGCATCCCCATCCACCTCCCCCTGCCTGGCTCTCTGTGAGCGCTGCACAGCAGGTTCCACGAGCTGGAAAATCTCTGTTCTCTTTTCCAGCCGGTCAGTTGAATGCATCTGGTAGGACTTTGTGCAGAAGAAGTTTCATTTTTCCCTTCTCATTGTCAAGTTTCCGTTTTTTTGGAGGGTTTTTTTTAATTAAAAAAAAAAAAAAAAGCCTGAAGAGCACCCAGAGTGTTGTTTAAAGGAAAGGGGAACTGGAGCCAGAGTCAGGAAACGTTCAGTTGGTGTCATCACTTCAGGGCTGGTGGAAGCCCTTTGCACGTGGCTGTCGGTGAGGAGATGGTGCACGGTGGCGCGGCCGCTTCGTGCACGACGCCGACCCCCCTCTCTCCCCTCCTTGTTTTGCAGTGTTCTCACGTGCGGGGGCCTGGAGCCGATGGCCAACAATGTCAACAACTAACAACATAGCACAGGCCAGGAAGCTGGTGGAGCAGCTCCGCATTGAAGCCGGCATCGAGAGGATCAAGGTGAGCACAGGGAGCTGGAGCAGCGCGACATGTGCTGCCTCTGGGATGGGCAGGGACGGAGCCCTGGGCCAGTGCTTTGGTTTTTCCCCAAGCACACGTGTGCTGCTGCGACATCTCGGCTCGGATACTGCAGCATTTCTAGATGAGATCCCTTCCTACGGGCACGGCTCACACCGGGAGGTAAGGTCACAGCTTGGGCAGCTTATCCCGGGTGTCAGAGGTGACCATGCGATCCAAGGACAGACCAGCCACTGAAGTAAGTTCCTGGAGCTCAGCTGGGCACACGCAACCTCTGAAGGCAACTGAAGCTGCGGGGGCCGGAGCAGCAAAGCTCTGCCGCACACGCTGACGCGTGTTCTGGTCTCATTGCCCCGTGTTTTGCAGGATGATGTCACTGTCCATCCTCAGTTTCTCTCAGAAATCTGCTGCCTGCACAGTTATTTCCCAGCTGCTGCATTTTTGCGAGTGAAGGAGGCTGGTGGCCCACCTTCCCTCTGCTTTGAGATGTGTTTATGGCAGATCTCAGGAAGGTTCATTTTGTGCCACTGTTGTCCAGGGTGGCAAACCCGAGTCTATTCTCAGCCATCTGCTGGCTCACCAGTAATCTGCTGGGGCAGCAAAGGAGCCCCAGAAATAAAGCTCCCTTTGGCACTGGGGGTTTGGAGCAGGTAATGTGCTCACAGCCACAGCGTCCCCCGAGAGTCTGGGACCTCCAGGAGCATTCACTATTCTGGGAACCGGCTCAGTGATTGTGGTACCTGGGCTCGTTGGGCCACGTGAGCTCTGGAGAGCAACCTTTGCTGGAGACAAATATTAGCATGTGGGCAGCAAGTCCCAGTTCTGTGAGCGAGACACCCCGGGGCACTCTCTGGATTTACACCTCTTAAACCACAGAGGAACCACACTCAGAGGAACCACACTCATCACCCGGCTCTGCAGCCCTCCTGCCAGCATCTGAGCTCTGCAGGGTGGGTTGTGGCTGTGGTGGGGCAGCTCCACTGCCCGTCCCTCCGAGAAACTCCCCAGGAGGGGAGGAAGGAGGGGAGAGACAAAATCTGTTCATGGAAAGTCACCTCTCAGTAAGTCACTCAAAGGAAAGCCCCGTGCATGGTGATGAAAGGCAGATGAAACCGAAACGCTGTGACATGCATAGGTGTTGAATCCACCTGATAGTTTTTAGTTTAGTTTTCTGAGTGTTTTCTTTGACTTTCAGTCTCTGCAGCTTCTGCAGCAGCAGCTCCTCCGTCACCTCCGGTTTTGATGTGCATGAGGAGCTGCTGTTGCTTTGAATATCTTTTATTTTTTTATTATTTTTTTTAAAGCTGTGAGGTTTTGTAGCTGTTTTTAGAGCCACCACTTTCCAGACTGCAGTCAGGGACCCATCAGTGAGGCCACTTTAGGGAAGAAAAAACAAATTACAGGTCTTCCCCCAGCGCAGACGTCGCTGACTCTCCCTGTCTCAGCTCCAGGATCCCGAACGGCGCACGCCGAGGAGGAGGGAGGGTGTGTGTGTTCTTAGCGACCTTTGTAGCTGGGACTATCTTAAACTCTTTGCTGGGAAAGAACAACAGTGGTGGGACCACAACATGCTGCTATTTATTGCTGAGTGGAGAAGATGTGCTGTCTGGATGAGCTTTCAATCAAGCCGTGATCCACAGACCCAGCTCTCGGGTGAGCGTGCCGAGCCAGCCAGCTCCCGAGTAGCGTGTCAAGCGAGCGCTCGCTCCTCCAGCTCACCCGATTTTACAGCTGAGGTCGATGAGATGCTTTTGCCTGGGGATAAACAAAGGAATTTCTGATAAATGAACACTTCTGAGATGAGGGGAAGGGGCTGCCCCACGAGCTGGTGCTGCAGCTGCGAGCGGCAGCGTGAGGAGCGCTCCCCGGTTCCTCCCTGCGAGGTCTGACGGAGCCCCCAGTGCTGAGCAGAGCCCTGTCACCACGCTGTGGATTTCCTCCCCCCCAGCTCATACACCAGCTAGAGAAGGGCCAGGCCTTTTCTCCTGGCTGTGTCTGGCTCGTCCTTCCCTTCCACAGCTGAAGCTTTAAGAAGAGCACGAAGGTTTTCAGGACACTTTGCTCTCATAACAGGTTCAGCCGCGCTCCCGCCGGGCTAATCTCTTTCCCCTTGCTCTGCTCTGAGATTAGCAGTAATTACCATCTTACGTGAGTAGCAGGTTCAAGGTAGAGCCTTGACCTTCTCTCCGCAGAGCAGTTTTGCTGTTGGATCCAAACATACGTGATAAGTGTGTCGAAGTGCAGGCCAGCAGCAGCCGGTGGCCATTAGAGGTGTTTCTTACTGCTTAGGACTTTGATATTTCATATTGCAATAAGACCTACAGCCTCCCACAAAAACACCTTGTCCGATGCAACCTCTGGACCTGCCTTTCTAGGAGACACCAAAAAATACACAGGAGGAGGAAACCCCCGCTGTGGTGTAGGAGCAGAGATGAATTTGCCCAAAGCTGCAGAGAACCAGGGTTTTGTCACAAGTGCTGTTTCTCCTCCGCTCTGTTCACTCTCAGTTGCTTGGTGTTTAATAATTTGGGCAGAGAACCTCCCGTTCCTGCCGGGCAGGTCACATCGCTCTGCCAGTGCCAGCAGCTCCGTGCCACAGCGTCCTCCGCGAGGCTGCAGAGCGTGGTGACCCCAGGGAGCACTGCGGTGAGAACGGCAGAGCCAGGGCAGCGGGGAGGTGATTTTTTGTCCCCAAAATCCCAGCTCAGCTCAGCTCAGAGGGGTGAATCACCCCGGTGCCGAGCAGCCGCGGAGATCCCAGGAAGGGAACCGCTGCTATAAAGCTCTGCAGCTACAGCAGGTCACATCTGGGCCTTGCAGATGTGGTCTCCTTGTGTCTATGTTTTGTGTTTGCCTTATGTTTAACCAGTTATTAAATTAATTAAAAAAAAACCCAAGAGCTGCTGTTGGTTCCAAAGCTCCCGGCACCGTCCTGCCAGGACTCTCCCTGCACGGTGCAGCCGTGTTCTCACCCACCACCACGATCCCCTCTCTGTGCCGAGCTGCTCTGGGCTCTCAGTTCCCAGAAGATGGCTTTGAACTAAAATAAGCAAAGCCTCAAGTAATAATTTCTAACGGTTTCAAAACCTCCATTTTTAACATCAGAGGACGGCCGCTCTCAGGCATTTTTTCCCTTCCTTTTTTTATCCCAAAGCCCATCCAAATCAGGACAATAATATCTTCTTTTCAATCTCTTGCTCTCGGCCGGGAGTATTTTTCCCCTACTCATCACTTTATTTATGTCAGACCTTACAAATTTTTATTATTATTTATTTTTTCCATGTCCATTTCCCCTTTTCATTGTCACCATCTCCATAAAGTTTCTGTTACGAGAAGCTGAACGTCGGGGTCTCTTCCTCCCTGTAGAGCTTGGGAAGCGATGGGTGAAGCTTCATGGGCTGAACTCCAGCACCTTCACCTGAATCTCCTCACTCACCTTCTGCTTTCTCACAACATTTAGGTCTCGAAAGCATCTTCGGAGCTAATGAATTACTGCGAGCAACATGCCAGGAACGACCCACTGCTGGTTGGAGTTCCCGCTTCGGAGAATCCTTTTAAGGACAAAAAACCTTGTATCATCCTATAGTTTTCCTTGCTCCGGCGTTTGCGATCTCTCAGGCAGGGCACCCTTCTCCTGAAATCAACTGAAACCAAGCTACAAACTTACAACTGCGCCGAGGGGGGGTAAACACTAAATGTTGGATTCGAATTGAACTTAAATCTC